AAATCGCCCCAGAACCAACTGAAGCGCATTTGAGCCGGGAAAATGTCCATTTTTTCCTGTGTTTTATTGCGATGGAGTTCTGCTTTTTTTGGACAACTGGCAACGCGGGATTCGGGCGGCTGGTTGGTGCGGAAATGGAGTTATACTCAAATTGTCCTGAAAAGTGTTGAATTATGGAGTCACTTTTTTGTTATTGGCTGGGCTTGGAAAAATCCAAAGGGATTTTAAAGAGTATGTTTTCCGGCAACTTTTCGAATTCTGCCCGTTAAAATCGGCTGGAAAACACGAAAGTTATGCGGAAAAGTGCGATGGAAAATTGATTGATTTGGGGATTTCCAATTTTGCTTTCGTCTGGCAATTGAAAAATAGCATAAGTTTTTTATTGTTGGCCCGTTTTGGAAAAATCAATCAATTTTTTTTCTGCAAATTTTGGCGTTTCGAGCGTAGAAGTCGGTGGAAGAATTCTGAAGTTATGAGGCAAAAATGGCATAGAATGGCGTTTTTGGAAATCGAAAAATGGCTTTAAAAACTGTCCAACTGGCCAAATTCTTAACTTTTGGTTTATGTTTGAATTTAGAGGAGTTTTTAGAGAACAAAACGAGACAAATTTTAGCGATTTTTTTTTGCGGCAATGGGCCACAAAATTTATACGTTTTTTATGTCTGATCCGATTTGACAAACATTTTCAGTCACTCGAGAACTGCTTCATTAGTATCTACAATGAGCTTTTGCGAAAAACCATGTTGGGTTCACCTAGGAATTATGCTCCAAAAACTCATTACTCTCCTATTTTACGCTTCATTTTAAAAAGAAAAAAATACGCCCGAAAGAAGCTTACTTTCTCTCTAATTCACCGTTTTGAAAATGGAAATGGGCTGAAAACTCCGGAAGTTATAAAAGGAAAACCGTATTGGGTCGACCTGGTAATTATCTTCTTAAAGCCTCATAACTCTCGTATTTCAAGGTTAATTTAAAAACCCGAAAATTCATACGAAAGAAGATTGATTTCTCGCTAACTCACCTTTTTGAAAAGGAAATCGGCTGAAAACTCCGAAAGTTATCAACAGAACACCTAACATGGTTGGGTGCGCCTGGAAATTATCCTCAGAAAATTTAGAATTAGAAATTTAGCAAATTTAGAAACCCAGAAACTGATCCAAAAGGAAGTGAATTACTCTCTAATTCACTTTTTTGAAAATGGAAGTCGATCGAAAACTCCGGAAGTTTTAAAAGGAAAACCATGTTGGGTGCATCTGGCAATTTTCCTCGAAAAACCTCACAGCTCTCCTATTTCAAGGTTAGTTTAAAAACCCGAAAATTGGCCCGAAAGAAGATTGATTTCTCTCTAATTCACCTTTTTGAAAACGGAAGTCTGCCGAAAACTCCGGAAGTTGTAAAAGGAAAACCGTGTTGGGTGCATCCGGGAATTTTCCACGAAAAACCTCATAACTCTCCTATTTCAAGGTTAATTTAAAAAGCTAAAAATTTATTCTAAAGAAGATTGATTTCTCTCTAATTCACCTTTTGGAAAATGGAAGTCTGCCGAAAACTCCGGAAGTTGTAAAAGGAAAACCGTGTTGGGTGCATCTGGGAATTTTCCACGAAAAACCTCATAACTCTCCTATTTCAAGGTTAATTTAAAAAGCTAAAAATTTATTCTAAAGAAGATTGATTTCTCTCTAATTCACCTTTTGGAAAATGGAAGTCGGCCGAAAACTCCGGAAATTATAAAAAGAAAACCATGTTGGATGCATCTGGGAATTTTCCTCGAAAAACCTCATAACTCTCCTATTTCAAGGTTAATTTAAAAACCTAACAATTTATTCGAAAGAAGATTGATTTCTCTCTAATTCACCTTTTGGAAAATGGAAGTCCACCGAAAACTCCAGAAGTTATTAACGGAAAACCATGTTGGGTGCGCCTGGAAAAACTCTCCTATTTCAAGGTTAATTTAGAAACCCGAAAATTGGTCTGAAAGAAGATTGATTTCTCTCTAATTCACCTTTTTGAAAATGGAAGTCGGCCTAAAACTTCGGAAGTTATAAAAGGAAAATCATGTTGGGTGCATCTGGGAACTTTCCTAGAAAAACCTCAGAACTCTCCTATTTCAAGGTTAATTTAAAAACCCGAAAATTGGTCCGAAAGAAGATTGATTTCTCTCTAATTCAGCTTTTTGAAAATGGAAGTCGGCCGAAAACTCCGGGAGTTATGAACGGAAAACCATGTGGGTGCGTCAGGGAATCTTCCTCGAAAAACATCATAACTCTCCTATTTCAAGGTTACTTTAAAAACCCGAAAATTGTTCCGAAAGAAGATTGATTTCTCTCTAATTCAGCTTTTTCAAAATGGAAGTCGGCCGAAAACTCCGGGAGTTATGAACGGAAAACCATGTGGGTGCGTCAGAAAATCTTCCTCGAAAAACATCATAACTCTCCTATTTCAAGGTTACTTTAAAAACCCGAAAATTGTTCCGAAAGAAGATTGATTTCTCTCTAATTCACCTTTTTGAAAATGGAAGTCAGCCTAAAACTTTGGAAGTTATAAAAGGAAAACCATGTTGGGTGTATCTGGGAATTTTCCTAGAAAAACCTCATAACTCTCCTATTTCAAGGTTAATTTAAAAAGCCGACAATTGGTCCGAAAGAAGATTGATTTCTCTCTAATTCACCTTTTTGAAAATGGAAATCGGCTGAAAACTCCGAAAGTTATAAAAGGAAAACCTTGTTGGGTGCGTCTGGGAATTTTCCTCGAGAAACCTCATAACTTTCCTATTTCAAGGTTAATTTAAAAACCTAAAAATGTATTTGAAAGAAGTTTGATTTCTCTCTAATTCACCTTTTGGGAAATGGAAATCGGCTGAAAACTCCGAAAGTTATAAAAGGAAAGCCATGTTGGGTGTATCTGGGAATTTTCCTAGAAAAACCTCATAACTCTCCTATTTCAAGGTTAATTTAAAAACCCGAAAATTGGTCCGAAGGAAGATTGATTTCTCTCTAATTCACCTTTTTGAAAATGGAAGTCGGCCTAAAACTTCGGAAGTTATAAAAGGAAAACCATGTTAGGTGTATCTGGGAATTTTCCTAGAAGAACCTCAGAACTCTCCTATTTCAAGGTTAGTTTAAAAACCCGAAAATTGGTCCGAAAGAAGATTGATTTCTCTCTAATTTACCTTTTTGAAAATGGAAGTCGGCCGAAAACTCCGGAAGTTATAAAAGGAAAACCATGTTGGGTGCATCTGGTAATTATCCACTTAAAATATCATAACTCTCCTATTTCAAGGTTAATTTAAAAACCCGAAAATTGGTCCGAAAGAAGATTGATTTCTCTGTAATTCAGCTTTTTGAAAATGGAAGTCGGCCGAAAACTCCGGTAGTTATGAACGGAAAACCATGTTGGGTGCGTCTGGGAATTTGCCTCGAAAAACCTCATAACTTTCCTATTTCAAGGTTAATTTAAAAACCCAAGAATTCGTTCGAAAGGAGATTGATTTCTCTCTAATCCACCTTTTTGAAAATGGAAGTCGGCCGAAAACTCCGGTAGTTATGAATGGAAAACCATGTTGGGTGCGTCTGGGAATTTTCCTCGAAAAACCTCATAACTTTCATATTTCAAGGTTAATTTAAAAACCCAAAAATTCGTTCGAAAGGAGATTGATTTCTCTCTAATCCACCTTTTTGAAAATGGAAGTCGGCCGAAAACTCCGGTAGTTATGAACGGAAAACCATGTTGGGTGCGTCTGGGAATTTTCCTCGAAAAACCTCATAACTTTCATATTTCAAGGTTAATTTAAAAACCCAAAAATTCGTTCGAAAGGAGATTGATTTCTCTCTAATCCACCTTTTTGAAAATGGAAGTCGGCCGAAAACACCGGAAGTTATAAAAGGAAAACCATGTTGGGTGCATCTGGGAGTTTTCCTCGAAACACCTCATAACTCTTCTATTTCAAGGTTAATTTAAAAACCCAACAATTTATTCGAAAAAATATTGATTTCTCTCTAATGCACGTTTTTGGAAATGGAAATCGGCCGAAAACTCCGGGAGTTATGAACGGAAAACCATGTGGGTGCGTCAGGGAATTTTCCTCAAAAAACCTTATAACTCCCCTATTTAAAGGTTAATTTAAAAACCCAAACTATCATCCGAAAGCAGATTGATTTCTCTCTAGTTCGCCTTTTTGACAATTCAAATTGGCCGGAAACTCCAGAAGTTATTAACGGAAAACCATGTTGGGTGCGCCTGGAAATTTTCCTCGGAAAACCTTATAACTCCCCTATTTCAACGTTAATTTAAAAACCCAACAGTTCATCCAACCTTTTTGAATATGAAAATCGGTGGAAAAGTTCAGAAGTTTTTAAAGGAAAACCTTGTTGGGCCCACCTGTGAATTTTCCTTCAAAAACCTCATAACTTTCCCTTTTCAGCCTTAATTTGAAAACCCAAAAGATGACTAATTTAGCTCTAATTCGTTTTTTTCAAATCGAAAATCGGACAAAAACTCCAGAAGTTATGGCGAAAAAACTGTCAGAGAAAAATCGTCAATTTCAAATTTCGAATTTTTCAGCCTCGTTTGAAGTTGGAAGCATGTTTTGTAGCGAAACACCAACGTTTCCCTTGCAAATTGTCAGCGTCAGAAATTTGACTGTGTTTTTGCTATCAGGAAAACCGGCAAATTTCGACTGATTTTGATCAGAAAAGACAGAAATTTCAGCTGAATTTCTGCACAAGTAATAAATTGGCCAAAAAAATGTTCTGCAAATCATGCACCAAAATGCCCATAACTTCCTTATCTCGGGCTCGATTTGAACAAACCCAAGTTCATTGGAAACACACTCAATTTCCCAATAATACCCATTGCTCAAAACCGCATTCCTCTCATTAACCTCAAAGTTACGAGCATTTGAGTGTGCGACCAACCGGTTCCATGCAACACTGTTCACATCAAATTCCTCTCTCTCTCCAAACTGGATAAACTAATTTTCGGTTTTTCTCCCTCAATTTTAGAGGTAAATACGCAACAGTCTGTCGAGCAGTTCACCGGAAAACTCGCACTCCTTTTGCGGCCAAATTCGTGCGAAAACGACGCCGGAACCAGGATCAGATGAAGGAGATCATACACGAAATTGCCGTTCTGATGCAGTGCTCATCGACCAGCCGAGTGATTCGGCTTCATGAAGTCTACGAGTCTGCCACGGAAATGGTAAGTGTCCATGATTTGGTGCAAACTTTGGCAACAGCGTAGCCCCGGACCAAATCCACTGGGGATTGAGTGAGTGACTTTGAAATGTTCTCATCACCTTCCCTGATGATGGGTTTGTTTCGAAACTTTCACCAAGTGTTGCAGGGAATGTGCACTTTCTTGGGTGGGATGTGGCAACCCTGTACCAGGTCCGGCTTCTGGCATGGGCAGAAAAATCACTATTGGCTTTTGTCCTCTTAAAACTCTATTGACTTTTTGCGCACACGCGCTTTGATTGGTTGGGATTAATAGAGCCGTTTTTGCTCTATATTTGGTGATTTTTCGGGTGCTCTGTCTTTAAAGCTCTGGAAATGCTGAATTTTTTGAGCTGAGCTCGTTGCCTAAAACCTAATCACGAGTTGGACCTTTGGAATTTAGAAAAATCCAGAATTTTCTCACAGGGCTCGAATGGGGGGTGCAAACTTCCACATCTAATAGAGCCGTGTTTGCTCTATCTGGGGCAATAGTTTGAGCGCTCCATCGGCTCACAGCTCTAAGAAATGGGGTTTTCAGTAGAGCTCTGATGTAGAGAGATTCTAGGGAAATTTTGGGAATTTTTCAAAAAGGCTCTGAGGGTTTTTGAAGATTTCTAACCAGCCCGGTTTATAGAGCCAAATCGGCTCTAAATTGGACAACAGTTTTAGTGCTGTCTGTCTTAAGGGCCTTGAAGCGTTTTTTTTTTTAAGTTGGGTTTCCACATTTCAAAACTGGTTTTTTTTGCACCAATTTTGAAAAATTCTCAAAATTTGCCCGGGCTTTGCAAAAATTTAAAATTCGCGCCTTTAATAGACTCATTTTTGCTCTATATTTCTGTGCATTTTCAACGTTCTATCGATTGTGCGGCGAAAACTACGAATTTTTTAAGCAGTGCTGGATGGACAGTGCATAAGTCTAGCTGATGACTCAGATTTGAAAAATTCCCAAAAATTCTTAGTTGAAGCCGAATGGACACTTTAGGCTGATGCATCTGATGGAGTTATGTTCGCTCTATATTCACAGGGAATTTCAGCGCTCTATCTGCTCAGAGCGGAAAATATTGGATTTTTAAAATAGAGCTGGCACATCTGATGTTTACGGTTTGAATGGCAATTTTGAAAATTTTTCAAAAATGAACTGGACCTTTGTGACGGTTCTAAACTTTCTCAGTCTATAGAGCCAAACGGGCTCTATATTAAACATCAATGCTTAATGCTCTATCGCATCAGAGCTTCAACGGGCGAATTTTTGCAATTAGGCTTTCAAATTTTTTGGCAGGTTGTGTTGGGGCAAATTGAAAAATTTCTCAAAATTCAGTCAGCTTTGCGACACATTGCAAATTTGTCTTTTTCATAGAGTCGTATTGGCTCTATATTTCTGAGAAATTTCAGCTGTTTATCCATGGCGTGGTGAAAACTGCAAATTTTTAAAGCAGATTGTGATGGACAGAGGAAATGACCAGTTTAAAGTTCACATTTGAAAAATTTACAAAATTTACCGACTCGAGCCTGGTGGACACTCTAAACTCATGCGTCTAGTAGACGCATGTCTGCTCTATATTTGAAGGTAATTTGAACGCTCTATCTGCTTAGAGCTTGGTATAACGAATTTTCCAATCAAAGCCTGTATTGTATCAAAGGAAGGTCTGAAGAGCACCTTTGAAAATTTTTTCAAATCACCCGCAATGCTCATAGAGAATAGCATTTTGGCTCTCTAATAGAGCCATGGATGATCTACGTGTGGTGCAAATTTCGGTAGCGTATCTGAACAGGATTTTAAGGACCGAATTTTTCAAAATGAGTGCAAAGTTATTGAGCACATTTGTTGAGCCAATTTCAAAATATCCTCAAAATTGGCCCGGGCTCTGCAAATATTTAAAATTTTCCACTTTAATAGAGCCATCTTTGCTCTGTATTTCTATGCAATTTCAAAGTTCTATACGATTGTGCGGCGAAAACTATAAATTTTTTAAGCAGTGCTGGATGGACAGTGCATAGGTCCAGGCAACGGCTCAGATTTGAAAAATTCTCAAAAATTCTTAGTTGAAACCGGATGGACACTTTAGGCTGATACATCTGGTGGAGTCATGTTTGCTCTATATTTACAGGGAATGTCAGCGCTCTATCTGCTCCCAGCCGGAAGTATTGGATTTTTAAAATAGAGCTGGCACATCCGATGTTTAGAGTTCAAATGCCAATTTTGAAATTTTTTTAAAAATGAACTGGCCCCTCCTGACGGTTCCAAACTTTCTCAGTCCATAGAGCCAAATTGGCTCTATATTAAACATCAATGCTTTAAGCTCTACCGCGTCAGGGCTTTAAAGGACGAATTTTCAAAATTAGGCTTTCACATTTTATATCAGATTGTGTTGGGCTAAATTGAAAAATTTTTCAAAATTCACTCAGGTTTGCAACACATTGCAAATTTGTGTTTTTCATAGAGTCGTATTGGCTCTATGTCTCTGAGAAATTTCAGCTGTTTATCGAGGGCGTGGTGAAAACTGCAAATTTTTAAAGCAGATTGTGATGGCCAGAGGGAATGACCAGTTTAACGTACACATTTGAAAAATTTACAAAATCTCCATCAATCCATAGAGAATAGCAATTGAGTTCTCTAATAGAGCCGTGGTTATTCTACGTGTGGTGCAAATTTGGGCATAGTATCTCTACAGGATTTTAAGGGCCGAATTTTTCAAATTGAGTTTGCAAAGTTATTGAGCACATTTCTTGAGCCAACTTCAAAAAATCCTCAAAATTCGCCCGGGCGTTTCAAATATTTCAAATTTGCCCTCTTAATAGAGCCATCTTTGCTCTATATTTCTATGCAATTTCAACTTTCAGTCGACTGTGCGGCGAAAACTACGAATTTTTTAAGCAGTGCTTGATGGACAGTGCGTAGGTAAAGCCAACGGCTCAGATTTGAAAAATTCCCAAAAATTCTTTGTTGAAACCGGATCGACATTTTAGGCTGATGCATCTGGTAGAGTCATGTTTGCTCTATATTCACAGGGAATTTCAGCGCTCTATCTGCTCACAGCCGAAAGTATTGGGCTTTTTAAAATAGAGCTGGCACATCCGATGTTTAGAGTTCAAATGCCAAATTTGAAATTTTTAAAAAAATGAACTGGCCCCTCCTGACGGTTCCAAACTGTCTCAGTCCATAGAGCCAAATTGGCTCTATATTAAACATCAATGCTTTAAGCTCTACCGCGTCAGGGCTTTAAAGGGCGAATTTTTGAAATTAGGCTTCCACATTTCAGATCAGATTGTTTTTTGCTAAATTAAAAAAAAATTCAAAATTCACTCAGGTTTGCCACACATTGCAAATTTGTCTTGCTCATAGGGTCGTAGTGGCTCTATGTTTCTGAGAAATTTCAGCTGTTTGCCGATGGCGTGGTGAATACTGCGAATTTTTAAAGCAGATTGTGATGGACAGAGGAAATGACCAGTTTAAAGTTCACATTTGTAAAATTTACAAAATTTACCGACTCGAGCCTGGTGGACACTCAAAACTCGTGCTTCTAGTAGACTCATGTGTGCTCTATATTTAAAGGCAATTTCAGCGCTCTATCTGCTTAGAGCTTGATATAGCGAATTTTCCAATCAAGGTCTGTATTGTATCAAAGGAAGGTCTGAAGAACAACTTTGAAAATTTTTTCAAATCTCCCTCAATGCTCATAGAGAATAGCATTTTGGCTCTCTAATAGAGCCATGGATGATCTACGTGTGGTGCAAATGTCGGTAGCGTATCTGAACAGGATTTTAAGGGCCGAATTTTTCAAATTGAGTTTGCAAAGTTATTGAGCACATTTCTTGAGCCAACTTCAAAATATCCTCAAAATTCGCACGGGCTTTTCAGATATTTCAAATTTGCCCTCTTAATAGAGCCATCTTTGGTCTATATTTCTCTGCAAATTCAACGTTCCATCGATTATGCGGCGAAAACTACGATTGTTTTAAGCAGTGCTAGATGGACAGTGCGTAGGTCCAGCCTACGGCTCATATTTTAAAATTTCTCAAAAATTCTTTGTTGAAACCGATGGACACATTAGGTTGATGCATCTGGTAGAGTCATGTTTGCTCTATATGCACAGGGAAGTTCAGCGCTCTATCTGCTCAGAGCCAAAAATATTGGGTTTTTAAAGTAGAGCTGGCACATCTGATGTTTACGGTTTGAATGGCAATTTTGAAAATTTTTCAAAAATGGACTGGTCCCTTGTGACGGGTCCAAAGTTTCTCAGTCTATAGAGCCAAATTGGCTCTATATTAAACATCAATGTTTAATGCTCTATCGCATCAGGGCTTCAATGGGCGAATTTTTGCAAATTAGGCTTCCAAATTTTATGGCAGGTTGTGTTGGGGCAAATTGAAAAATTTCTCAAAATTCAGTCAGTTTTGCCACACATTGCAAATGTGTCTTTTTCATAGAGTCGTATTGGCTCTATTATTCTGAGAAATTTCAGCTGTTTATCGATGGCGTGGTGAAAACTGCAAATTTTTAAAACAGATTGTGATGGACAGAAGGAATGACCAGTTTAAAGTTGACAGTTGAAAAATTTTCAAAATTTGCTGACTCGAGCCTGGTGGACACTCTAAACTCGTGCGTCTAGTAGACGCATGTCTGCTCTATATTTGAAGGCAATTTAAACGCTCTATCTGCTTAGAGCTTGGTATAGTGAATTTTCAAATCAAAGCCTCTATTGTATCAAAGGAAGGTCTGAAGAGCAACTTTGGAAATTTTTTCAAATCTCCCTCAATACTCATAGAGAATAGCATTTTGGCTCTCGAATAGAGCCGTGGGTGGTCTACGTGTGGTGCAAATTGGGGCACAGTATCTCAACCGGAATTTTTAGGGCCGAATTTTTGAAATTGCGTTTACAAAGTTATTGAGCACCTTTCTTGAGCCAACTTCAAAATATCCTCAAAATTCGCCCGGGCTTTTGAAATATTTCAAATTTGCCCTCTTAATAGAGCCATCTTTGCTCTATATTTCTATGCAATTTCAACTTTCAGTCGACTGTGCGGCGAAAACTACGAATTTTTTAAGCAGTGCTTGATGGACAGTGCGTAGGTCCAGCCAACGGCTCAGATTTGAAAAATTCCCAAAAATTCTTTGTTGAAACCGGATGGACACTTTAGGCTGATGCATCTGGTGGAGTCATGTTTGCTCTATATGCACAGGGAATTTCAGCGCTCTATCTGCTCACTGCCGAAAGTATTAGATTTTTAAAATAGAGCTGGCACATTTGATGTTTACAGTTGGCAATTTTGAAAATTTTTCAAAAATTAACTGTTCCCTCGTGACCGTTTGGAACTTTTTCAGTCTATAGAGTTAAATTGGCTCTATATTAAACAGCAATGTGTAATACTCTATCTAGTCAGGGCTTTAAATGGCGAATTTTTGAAGATAGGCTTTCACATTTCAGATCAGATTGTGTTGGGCTGTATTGAAAAAATTATTAAAATTCACTTAGGTTTGCCACACATTGCAAATTTGTCTTTTGCATAGAGTCGCATTTACTCTATATTTCTGAGAAATTTCATCTGTTTATCGATGGCGTGGTGAAAACTGCGAATGTTTAAAGCAGATGGTGATAAACAGAACAGAGCGAATGACCTGTTTAAAGTCCACAGTTGAAAAATTTATAAAATTTACTGACTCGAGCCCGGTGGACACTCTAATCTCGTGCGTCTAGTAGAGCCATGTCTGCTCTATATTTAACAGCAATTTCAGTGCTCTATCTGCTTAGAGCTTTAAATGGCGAATTTTCTGATCAAAGCCTGTTTTGTATCAAGGAAAAGTTTGAGTACCAACTTTGAAAAATTTCTCAAATGTCCTTCGAGGATAATTAAAAAATTCAAAATTGGCTCTCTAACAGAGTCAGGCCTATTCTATGTGTGGTGTAAATTTCACTCTTCTATCGGCTTAGAGTTTGTTGAAACGAATTTTTTAAATCGACCGTCCAGATTTCGAAACAGAATTTGTTGGGCAGTTTTGAGAAATTTCTGCAAATTTACTCAGGCCCCACAAACATTTGAAGTTGGCCTGTTTAACAGAGCCATCTTGGCTCTATATGTCTGAGAAATTTCAGCTTTCTATCGATTGTGTGATAGAAATCATGCACTTTTTAGCAGTTCTCGGTGCACAGTGCAAATGACCAGCCATGGCTCAGATTGGAAAAATTCCGAAATTCACTCACTCAAACCTCGTGCAGACTCCAAATTTTTGCGGCTAATAGAGCGAGTTTTGCTCTATATATCGCTTTTGATGGATTCCGTGGTAAAACTTGGGAAAACTGCAGAAATTTGGAAAAATATATTGTAAATCTGCCCGTCCAACGTGTACCGTTCTCTCTCCAACACACCACACGTGGTATAACACTGTCTCTGTTTCAATTGCAGATTTTAGTTCTGGAATTGGCCGCTGGCGGCGAACTGCAGCACGTCCTGGACGACGGCCAATGTCTGAGCGAATCGGAAGCGCGCAAAGCAATGAAGCAGATCCTAGAGGGCGTCAGTTACCTGCACGATCGCAACATCGCCCACTTGGACCTCAAACCTCAAAATCTGCTGTTATCGATTGAGGACAGTTGCGATGACATCAAGCTGTGCGATTTCGGCATTTCGAAAATTTTGCAACCCGGCGTCACAGTACGAGAAATTTTAGGTGAGTTGCGTGTTAATTTCGCCATGCTTGGCAACACTGCCAATGTATGTTTTTGTCCCGAATTCAACTTTCCCGGGCGTCCAGTGGGCAATTTTGGTGTTTGTCCGCGGTTTAGGGGGGATTTTGGGTGCTTGGCAACATCGCCAATTTAGGTTCACTAAAAAAGACTTCGCAATGCGCCTTTGGACTAATCGCACATTTACAGCCGTTTTCCGGATATGAAGGCGTGAAGTTTTTGAGGGCCCCTGGGGGCGAAGCCCCCCAGCAAATGCTGCAGGCAACTTCGACAAAAATGTCTGCTTAAAAAGCCCCACCTGGCAGCGAAAATTTAACGTTTCTACTGCCAGTCGTTTTCAAGATACGGTTTTTTGGATATTTCCTGGGCCCCTAGGGGCGAAAGTAGCTTTTGGGTGTATCCCGCGAACCAGCAGGCCTAGAGCTTTGCGAAAAACGTCTCTGGACTCGGGGGGCCGCAAGGATCACTTTGGCGTTTTGACATTGGCCGCCAGAGGGCGTCTTTGGACGACAATGATAAAAAACCTGAAGCTTTGGGAAGATTTTGGCAGATTCGCAAGAATGTAAGTCAGGAAACTTAAGCAAAATCAAAAAAGAGAAATAAATTGCAAACTGGGGCCTTGAATGCGATCGGGCGACTCGAAGTAGGAAAGTTCAAGGTTGCTGTTCAAAAAGTGTATAACTTCGTTATGGATGGTCGAAACCGGCCGATTTTGGTGTCGTTGGAAAGGGAATTTTTGCTCCTAAACTCCTTTTTATCAACCTTTGGCAGATTTATAGCAAACTAATTTTTTTCACGATTTAATTAGATGCGTGCTCTGTTTCAGGTACTGTGGATTATATCGCACCCGAAGTGCTCAGCTACGAGCCGATCTGTTTGTCGACCGACATTTGGTCGGTTGGAGTTTTGGGTTACGTTCTGCTGTCCGGATTCAGTCCGTTTGGGGCCGACGATAAGCAGCAAACGTTCCTCAACATTTCCAAATGCAACCTCAGTTTCGAACCCGAACATTTCGAAGACGTTTCCAGTGCGGCGATAGATTTTATTAAAAGTGCCCTTATAGTCGATCCAAGGTAAGTGTGAACGATTTTTTGCGAGGCCCCATTAAGGGGCGAAGCCCCCATGCATTTTTTTTATGTCAAATGATGGTTTCTGTCGGGTTCTTTCAAAATGGTTCTTTGGTGTGGCTCATCGTTTGGGAGCTACAAGGCTTTGAAAGTGTGTGGCCCCAATAAGGGGCGAAGTCCCACGATTTTTTTGGTGGCAAACTAAAGTTTTCGGTGCGTTCTCTGGAAATGGTCTTTAGGCCCGTGGAGCTGCGTTCAGCCGTTTGCGGGATACAAGAGTTTTTAATGTTTGGGGCTCGATTAAGGGGCGAAGCCCTGCGGTGTTTGCAACCGTACGCTAATTGGCCTGCAGGTCGGGCTGTGGTGTAAGTGTGTGCAAAATTTTAACGCAAACTCTTGAAAATTGGGGCCTCCACAGCTGATCGAATAATTGCGTGCATGCTTGCCGACTTTTTATAATGTCAAACAGCATTTTTATAATGCTGATTTAAAATTTGCGTATCTTTGGAACCCTTCGGCCGATTGGCGCGCTTGTTTTTTTGAAAAATTGTCCGTTTTCTGGGGCGTCTTTGGGCTAAAAAAAATTGGCAATTTTTGAAGCGCTCCGCCCCTTAGGGGGCCTTAAATTTTTAAAAAAATTGTAACTGGAAAACCGTTGAAGATACTCTACTAGTTCCAAGGACCATTTTGAAAGCGACTGTCGAGGACTGTCCTATTTTGTGCAAAAACCAGTAGGGCTGCGCCCCTTTAGGAACCCCACTTTGCTAAATAATCAAATTTTATCGGAAATTATTTATATTTAAAAGTGTACTCTTGATTTTAAGTTGTGGAAAGGAAAGATACTTTTTGTTGCGTTCTTTCAAAATGATCCTTTGGGCTGTCGAGTTGCGTCCAACCGTTCAAGAGATACAAGCCTTTGAAAATTTTAGGCCCCATAGAGGGGCGAAGGCCCATTTTTTTTTTGTGCCAAACTGTAGTTCTCGATGCGTTCTCTCAAAATGGTCCTTAGGCCTGTTCGGCTGATTTTTGCCGTTTGCGGGATACAAGAGTTTTTAAAGTTTGGGGCTCGATTAAGGGGCGAAGCCCTGCGTTTTTACAAACCGCCCGGTAATTGGCCTGCAGGTCGGGCTCTGGTCTAAGTGTGTGGAAAATTTCAGCTCAAAATCTGGAAAATTGCGACCTCCACAACTGATCGAATGAAAGCGTGCATCCCTGCCGAGTTTTTATAGTGTCGAACAGCATTTTCATAATGCTGTTCCAAAATTCGCGTATCTTTTGAACCCTTCGGCCGATTTGCGCGCTTGTTTTTTTGAAAAATTGTCCGTTTTCTGGGGCATCTTTGGGCTAAAAAACTGTGGAAATTTTTGAAGCGCCTTGCCCCTTATGGGGCTTTTGAAGTTTTAAAAAAATTATAACTGGAAAACCGTTGAAGATACTCTACTAGGTCCAAGGACCATTTTGAAAGCGACTGTCGAGGACTGTCCTATTTTGTGCAAAAACCAGTAGGGCTGCGCCTCTTTAGGGACCCCACTTTGCTAAATAATAAAATTTTATCGGAAGTTATTTATATTTAAAAGTGTACTCTTGATTTTAAGTTGTGGAAAGGAAAGATACTTTTCGTTGCGTTCTTTCAAAATGATCCTTTGGGCTGTCGAGCTGCGTCCAACCGTTCAGGAGATACAAGCCTTTGAAAATTTTAGGCCCCATAGAGGGGCGAAGGCCCATTTTTTTTTTGTGCCAAACTGTAGTTCTCGATGCGTTCTCTCAAAATGGTCCTGAGGCCTGTTCGGCTGATTTCAGCCGTTTGCGAGATACAAGAGTTTTTAATGTTTGGAGCTCGATTAAGGGGCGAAGCCCTGCGTTTTTTGCAACCTTTGTTAATTGGCCCACAGGTCGGGCTGTGGTCTAAGTGTGTGCGAAATTTCAGCTCTAAATGTCGAAAATTGCGGCTTCCACAACTGATCGAATAATTGCGTGCATCCCTGCCGACTTTTTATATTGTCAAACAGTATTTTTATAATGCTGTCCCAAAATTTGCGTATCTTTTAAACCACTTTGCCGATTTGCGCGTTTGTTTTTTTGGAAAATTGTCCGTTCCCTGGGGCATCTTTGGGCTAAAAAATTTTGGCAATTTTTGAAGCGCTTCGCCCCCTATGGGGCCTTTGAATATAAATAAAATATGTAACTCAAAATCCGTTGAAGATACTCGACTTGTTCCAAGGACCATTTTGAAAGCGACTGTCGGGGACTGTCATATTTTGTGCAAGAAACGGTAGGGCTGTGCCCCTTAAGAGGCCGCACTTTCTAAATAATCAACATTTTCTAGGAAATTCTGCTAATTTAAAAGTAAATCAATAATTTCAAGTTGTGGAAAGATACTCTTCTTTGCGTTCTTTCACAATGATCCTTTAGGCTGTCGAGCTGCGTCCAACCGTTGAGGAGATACAAGCCTTTGAAAATATCTGGCCCCATAGAGGGGCGAAGCCCCATTATATTTTTTAGTGCCAAACTGTAGTTTTAGTTGCGTTCTCTCAAAATGGTCCTTAGGCCTGTTCAGCTGATTTCCGTCGTTTGCGAGATACAAGAGTTTTTAAAGTTTGGGGCTCGATTAAGGGGCGAAGCCCTGCGATTTTTGCAACCTCCGTTAATTGCCCCACAGGTCGGGTTGTAGTCTAAGCGTGTGCAAAATTTCAGCTCAAAATCTGGAAAATTGCGGCCTCCACAACTGATCGAATAATTGCGTGCATGCTTGCCGACTTTTTATAATGTGGAACAGCATTTTTATAATGCTGTCCCAAAATTCGCGTATCTTTTGAACCACTTGGCCGATTTGCGCGCTTATTTTTTTGGAAAATTGTCCGTTCCCTGGGGCATCTTTGGGCTAAAACGCTTCGGCAATTTTTGAAGCGATTTGCTGCTTATGGGGCCCTTGAAGTTTAAAAAAAATTGTAGTTCGAAAACCGTTGAAGATACTCGACTAGTTCCAAGGACCATTTTGAAAGCGACTGTCGAGGACTGTCATATTTTGTGCAAGAAACAGTAGGGCTGCGCCCCTTAAAAGGCCGCACTTTCTAAATAAACAACATTTTCTAGGAAATTCTGCTAATTTAAAAGTAAATCAATAATTTTAAGTTGTGGAAAGATACTTTTCTTTGCGTTCTTTCAAAATGATCCTTTAGGCTGTCGAGCTGCGTCCAACCGTTGAGGAGATACAAGCCTTTGAAAATTTCAGGCCCCATTATTTTTTTTGTTCCAAACTGTTGTTCTCGTTGCGTTCTCTCAAAATGGTCCTTAGGCCTGTTCAGCTGCTTTCAACCGTTTGCGCGATACAAGGGTTTTTAAAGTTTGGGGCTCGATTAAGGGGCGAAGCCCTGCGATTTTTGCAACCGTCCGCTATTTGGCCTGCAGGTCGGGTTGTAGTCTAAGTGTGTCCGAAATTTCAGCTTTAAATCTCGAAAATTGCGGCCTCCACAAGTGATCGAATAATTGCGTGCATCCCTGCCGACTTTTTATATTGTCGAACAGCATTTTGATAATGCTGTCTCAAAATTCGCGTATCTTTTGAACCACTTGGCCGATTTGCGCGCTTGTTTTTTTGGAAAATTGTCCGTTCCCTGGGGCATCTTTGGGCTAAAAAACGTTGGCAATTTTTGAAGCGCTTCGCCCCTTATGGGGTCCTTGAATGAAATCTGCGGTCTCCACAACTGATCGAATGAAAGCCTGCATCCCTGGGGTCTTTTTATAGTGTCGAACAGCATTTTTATAATGCTGTTCCAAAATTCGCGTATCTTTTGAACCACTTGGCCGATTACTGCGATTGTTTTTTTGAAAAATTGCCTGTTTTCTGAGGAAGGTATTGGTTGAAAAACTTTGGCGATTTGGGTAGCGCTTCGCCCCTTCAGGGGCCGTTGAAGTTTCAAAAAAATCGTAACTCAAATTTTTTGCTCCAAATTTTTTTTCCAAATTTTGCTAATTAAATTTCAACATTCTGATTCGCAGGAAACGACCGACAGTGCACGAGCTGATGGACCATCCATGGATCTCGTTGAAATCCAACCTCATGCAGCCGCTGTCCGCGCCAATCAGATCGCCCGAGCCGATCAACGTCACGCCCAGATCGACGCCGATCGGCCAGCGCAAGAGTTTCAGCTGTTTGAGCAGCGACGGCGGCTGCGCCGATCTAACGCCCAAATCCAAAGACTTCAAGGCGGCGCATGCGCGCACCACGCTGAGCGGCTCGTTCGCCGAATCGCCCGTTCGTACGTACTCGGTGACCGCTCAATGTATTTGTGCGCAGTGCGGCCCCACCTGCCGCCATCTGTCGCACGCGCCCGTCACCAAAACCACCATCACCATCGACCGCGCCATCTTGTGCTAGTTTGCGCGTTTTTCCCCCGGGTATCTGGATCGCTGCCAGGCTCGCTTCAATGGGCGCAACAAGGGTGCTAGACGGAGACACGGCTAATGTTGCGCCGTCTCGCTCCAGCCCAGGCGGTGTCTGTGTCTTCTGGCCTTGTTGCGCCCGCATGTTTCAAGAAAAATTCAATTTCTGACCCAAATTTGGCGGGCTGGCGCCCACTCAAGTGGACACTGGGGCTGCGCCGATGTACTGCGTGTTGGGTTTTTCCGGGGGTTTCCCCGCTGAAGCCCCGGGAATTTTTTGCTGCACGCCTGCAGTCTTGCAGAGGTTTTTCCGGATACCCGGAAAACCTGGCCCGATGGCGGAAAATCCCAAGGGGCAAAAGTTGGGGGGAATTGAATGGGGATTTGGATTTTTTTGGTTGGGAAAGGCAGGGGCGCGCAGCAAGGGGCGGGGCCCGATAACAGCCACACCCAGTAGGGTTTTGCGGGGGTCCAGGGTGGGCTGCGCAGCCGCCAGCAGAATTTGCGCGCAACATCGGCAACACCGGCGGAATCAGGGGCCGTTTTGCGTTTTGCAAATCCGCTCTAGTCAAAGGATGGTTTGTTGCACTTTTTCACTTCTGTTCAGATCCCGCGGGGAAACGCCACTGGAAAATACTGTGTTAGCTATTGTTACTCTCATTTCGCTGTATGTACGCACTTTTGTTTCGTTTCGTTAAGCCCCGCCCCCTGAACCGCACGCCACTGGGTCGACCGGCCGCGTGCGGTCCAGCCCCTGTGTACAGATCTAGTTCTTATTTAAGCAGTAATTTATGTTTCCGTTGCTTTTTACTTTTGATTTGGTCCTTATTCTAAATAAAGGTTGATTTTTTGTCTGTGTGGTTTTTGCTTTCACTCTGTCTGTCTGCGTGTGTGTGTGTGGAGGGGGAATTGAGGAGGAGGAAAAGTGATCGATGTGTTGGTTTCAGATCCCACAGACTCGAACGGATCTAGTGGCTGGGGCTGTTGGTCGGGAATGATTATTCCTGACTGAGCGATAAAAACTGGACATTTTCAGTGGATTTATTGATTATTTAAGTGGTTATTAAAGTGAAGTGGGCATTTACCGGCGTTTTTCTCCAAATTTTCAGTGCGAGCGTCCGGACAGTTTGGCGAATGCGCCTGGGAAAATTGGCGATGGAGCAGTGGGTTTCCCCATTCGTTTCAGGCGCATTCGCCAATCCGTCCAGGCGTGCGCCATTGGCAGAGGCCATCAGCAGAGAAAGTGCTATAACTTCCAAACCCGTTTCGATTGGCCGTTGAAACTTTGGGTCCTGCTCAACAAAACTCCACTTTGAACCACTGCGGACTTTCATTTGAATCCGTTGGCCGGAAGGGCTTTGAACTAACTCGGAAAGCCCGAGTGTGAGTCGCAGCGTTTTGTAACAGTTGAGTTGAAAACTTTACAACTCCCAAACTAATGCAGCTGAAATGAGGAAACTTTGCCAGTTTGGCCCCAAAGCTCCACTCAAAACTGGCAAGGAATTTCATTTGAAGCGCCTGGCAAACAAGCTTGCAAAATGCTTTTGAAACTTCACCCATGAAAGCCAACTGTTTGAGTCACTGTCCTTCAAACATCGGCAACTCCCAAGATAATTTTTATCGACCCCGGAAACTTTGCCAGTTTCCCCACTGGGCCTCGCTTCGAACTGCTGGGAAGTTTCATTGAAATTTATGCCCTGGAAGGGTTCTAAAATAATTCCCAAATCTCACAGTGGAAAACAATGCAATTTGCGCTTGTTGGGTTTAAAAATTCGCAATTCCCAACACCACGACTGTAGAATTTTAAAAATTTGCACCGCTGCCAACGGAGTTTCGCCCTCAACTTCCAAAAAGTATCTGTGGAATTTTCCTGCCAAACAAACTCTCAACATTTTTCTGAAACTTCCGGCTGGAAAACCGCGTATGTGAGTCACTGCTATTCAAAGGCCCACAACTTGCAAACCCTTTTCTATGGGAAGTTGAAACTTCGCTAGTGTCGCGGCAAAACGCGACTCTAAACTTGTAAGGAATTTCATTTGGATCGCCTGGCAAACAAGCTTGCAAAATGCTTTTGAAACTTCACCCATGAAAGCCAACTATTTGAGTCACTGTCTTTCAAAGATCGGCAACTCCCAAGATAATTTTTATCGACCCCGGAAACTTTGCCAGTTTCCCCACTGGGCCTCGCTTCGAACTCCTGGGAAGTTTCATTGAAATTTATGCCCTGGAAGGGTTCTAAAATAATTCCCAAATCTCACAGTGGAAAACAATGCAGTTGCGCTTGTTGGGTTTAAAAATTCGCAACTCCCAACGCTACAAATGTAGAATTTTAAAAATTTGCACCGCTGCCAACGGAGTTTCGCCCTTAACTTCCAAAAAGTATCTGTGGAATTTTCGGGCCAAACAAACCCTCAACATTTTTCTGAAACTTCCGGCTGGAAAACCGCGTATATGAGTCACTGCTTTTCAAAGGCCCACAACTTCCAAACCCTTTTTTATGGGAAGTTGAAACTTTGGATCCTGATTACCAAAGCTCTACTTTGAACTCCTGCGGAGTTTCATTTGAATCCGTTGAAAAGAAGGACTTTGAACTAACTCGGAAAGGCCCGAGTGTGAGTCGCAGCGTTTTGTGCCAGTTGAGTTGGAAACTTCACAACTCCCAAGCTATAGCAGCTGAAATGGGGAAACTTCGTGAGTTTGACAACAAAACCCTACTCTAAATGCCCAAAGAATTTGATTTCAATCAACTTGCAACCGAACTTCCTTTTTTCTGTCGAAGTTTCTGTTAAGTTTCCCAGTCAAACAGACACCCGCTTGAAAAATTATTGAAAATTGCGTGAGGATGATTGAAAATCGAAACGTTGTCCACTTATTGTGCGGACTGTCCTCTATAAAATGCTTACAAAATCCACTTTTCGTTAGTCAGTAAATTAATTAAAAAATGTCAAACTCCGGCCTGCAAAAACACACACGAAAACCGGACACGATTTCGAAAAATGGGTGTAAACTTTCTGAGGATGACTGAAAATCGAAACTTTCTACATTTTTATTTTGAACTTTGCCATATTGAATGCCGCCAAAATTGTCGTGCTCGTTCTGCAACTTGCGTAGAAACGCTTAGCTAAACTCCGGCCTACAAAAGTCCGCAGGAAAACCAAACAAACACTAGTGTGAAAAACTGTTAAAACTGGCCTGATGATGGCTGAGTCTCGAAACGTTTTTCTCGTTTCAAAATGTCTCCTCAAATGTTTCAAAATTTCTATGCGTTTATGAGTTATGAATTTTTGAATCTTTTTACGCTCGGCAATAACGACTATTTTTGCATGTAGCGTTTTAGAGGTTAGAAATTTTTGATTTTGGTTCAAGAGGGAAAGAACGTGTTTGAGACGCTTCTTCGAAATGGCTCTCAGAACTTTCGGGAAATTTCCAGCCGTTTACGAGTTATGAGTTTTTAACGCCTTTGACGCTCGGCCAGTTGGTAAATTTTTCTTTCTAGCGTTTTACAGGTTAGGAATTTCTGCTTAACCTTCAAGAAGAAAATGAGGCTTTTAAAAAGCTCGTTCAAAATGGATCCAAGGATTTTTTTGAAATTTCTCTTCGTTTATGAGTTATGAATTTTAGAATCTTTTCACGCTCAGTAATAACGGCTATTTTTGCATGTAGCGTATTGGAGGTTAGGAATTTTTGTTTTTGGTTCAAGAGGGAACGAACGTGTTTGAGACGCTTCTTCGAAATGGTACTGAGAATTTTCTGGAAATTTCCAGCGGTTTACGAGTTATGAATTTTTGACGCTTTTGACGCTCGGCTAGTTGGGATAATTTTTTTTCTAGCGTTTTACAGGTTAGGAATTTCTGCTTAACCTTCAAGAAGAAAAGTAGGCTTTTGAAAAGCGCATTCAAAATGGTTCCTAGTATTTTTTCGAAATTTCTATTCGTTGATGAGTTAGGAATTTTTGAATCTTTTGACGCTCGGTAATAACGGCTATTTTTGCATGTAGCGTTTTAGAGGTTAGGAATTTTTGATTTTGGTTCAAGGGGGAAAGAAAGTGTTTGAGACGCTTCTTCGAAATGGTTCTGAAAAATTTCTGGGAATTTCCAGCGGTTTACGAGTTATAAGATTTTGACGCTTTTGACGCTCGGCTAGTTGGAATATTTTTCTTTCTAGCGTTTTACAGGCTAGGAATTTCTGCTTAACCTTCAAGAAGAAAATAAGGCTTTTGAGAAGCTCGTTCAAAATGGTTCCTAGTATTTTCTCGAAATTTCTATTCGTTGATGAGTTAGGAATTTTTGAATCTTTTGACGCTCGGTAATAACGGCTATTTTTGCATGGAGCGTTTTAGAGGTTAGGAATTTTTGATTTTGGTTCAAGAGGGAACGAACGTGTTTGAGACGCTTCTTCGAAATGGTTCTGAGAACTTCCTTGAAATTTCCAGCGGTTTACGAGTTATGAATTTTTGACGCTTTTGACGCTCGGCTAGTTGGGATATTTTTCTTTTTAGCGTTTTACAGGTTAATAATTTATGCTTAACCTTCAAGAAGAAAATAAGGCTTTTGAGAAGCTCGTTCAAAATGGTTCCTAGGACTTTTTCGAAATTTCTATTCGTTTATGAGTTAGGAATTTTTGAATCTTTTGACGCTCGGTAATAACGGCTATTTTTGCATGGAGCGTTTTAGAGGTTAGGAATTTTTGATTTTGGTTCAAGAGGAAAAGAAAGTGTTTGAGACGCTTCTTCGAAATGGTTCTGAGAACTTCCTTGAAATTTCCAGCGGTTTACGAGTTATAAGTTTTTGACGGTTTTGACGCTCGGCTAGTTGAGATATTTTTCTTTCTAGCGTTTTACAGGTTAGGAATTTCTGATTAACCTTCAAGAAGAAAAGTAGGCTTTTGAAAAGCGCGTTCAAAATGGTTTCTAGTATTTTTTCAAAATTTCTATTCGTTGATGAGTTAGGAATTTTTGAATCTTGCCGGTCGGCTATAAAGTATGTCTTTGCTTGTAGCGTTTTAAAGGTTATATATTTATAAGCCATTAATCTTTCACAGAAAAAAACCTGTTTTAAGGAGCTTTTTTGCTCTTTTGCTTTTAAATTAAATTAAAAATTTGATTTAAAGTTTTAAACCGTCACTTTGCATCCTAGCCTCACCCGCTTTCTTTGGAAGTTCGGCAACAGTGCCTATTGAACTCTGGCGCTGTTGTCATGAATTAAAAACCGAAAACAAACAGATAATGAGTCTTTATTATTTCCTTTATTTACAGAACACTTAGATGTCTTAAATCTAGTAGAAAAGCGACAATAAATATCTGAAAATTACACATTTCCTCTATTGCTTCATATGTTGTGGTCATATAATCATTTAACGTAATTTGTACAAAAATCATCACCGAATAAAATAATAAAAATACGTATTTTTCTTACGGCTAATTACAGTTAATTAACCAATTAATTACTCTTAATTAATTACGTCTAATTAATTACAGCAATTGAATCGATTAATTAATTAGGTATAACTACATTTAATTAACCAACTAATTAGTCTAAATGCGAATACACTATCGGTAAGACGACGTTATAAAAAATATTAATCGACAATTAAAACCCTAAAACTAGAAAAAAATATAAAAAATCAACCGGCGGTAACTTGCGTGGACTTACCGCTAGAGCGGTAAGTCTGGACTGGGCAAAATTTCAAAAAACATATTTATATATATCTATTGCCTACTTTGCGCGAAGCGTGGCAACATTGGTACCATTTGGACAGTTTCACTCAATACTATTAAGTCACATTCTGAAGCACGCGCGTCTTCAGGGCTTTAATGATCAGTAAGTGAACAACATTTTGGTTCTTGGATGGAATCGCAAGGATTTTCCCAAAAAAAAACAATTTTTTCCAGAAAAATCCCCCTCTAATACTAATTTCCTACAGTGCTAACTTGTATTTGTTTTTTGGGATTCGGGAGCTGGAGAAAAGAGGGAAAACAGCCCACAAAACGAGCCAGGTTGCCAAATAAACCCACTGTCTGCTGAAAGTGGGGTTATGGGGCAACGGATTTGACTAGTATGACAGCCAAGTATGACAGGAAACGTCAAAACGGACGCCATTTTGCGGGGACTGTCAGTGCAAATTTACCTTTTAGGTTTCGGAGTGCGTGTGCAAATGGTGGCCGTTGTGTATTTTGACGATCTCGTCGTCATCGTTTCGAATCGCGTTGGCCAACCAACACGTTATAAAAATCCCTATAATCTGGAAAAGAAACAGGTTTTGTACTGGTTTTGCACCGAAACACGTCACACATTACAATGACATTGACATTGACATTGACACTAACATCCCAGATAAACAGCACGCATGTTGTGTGTGTGTGTGTGTGTGGATGTGCCGTACTGTGCGCGAACATTGCGCAGTGTGCGCTTGCGATGTTCGCGCAGAGTGCGCACACGTTCTACAGGCGCGTTTCAATGGAAAGTCGCTCAGATCGGCGTCTCCGAACTGTGCGTGTCGGAGCGCTCGCGATGCTCGTGATGGCCGTTGTGTATTTTGATGATTTCGTCATCGTCGCTTTCGATCGCATTGGCCAGCCAACACGTTAAAAATATCCCTAGAATCTGGAAAAAATAGAGCTTTTATGCAAAACGGTGCCACTTCAATGCAAGTTTATGTAGGAGTGCAACGCTTTTCTGGGCCGCTACCAAAATAATGACAGCGAAGGAAATGGGGGGAAAAATCAGCCAACCGGCAACGTTGCACTGCGCCAACTGACACACACAACACATACTTAAAAACTAGGTCAAACACACAAAAGAGACTTAGTCTTCTTTAACCAGGCCGGCTAACCAACATGTTAAGAATATCCCCAGAACCTGAAAATGACCAAATTCTGTCAGTAAATGTGTTTTTTTTTTTTGGTGATTAGTCGGCAACACCTCCACCAATGGTCGGGCAACGTTGCCGTGTCTTCGTCCCAAGCTGTTGAAAAACCCGCTAGTATTTTCGTGTCTTTCCACTTCTTATGTGAGCACAAAGTCAAAGCGAAAGCATGAACATAATGAGAGCGGCAACATTGCATTGAGTGCTGACGTCCACTTAGACACTTGCTGGCCATCAATTTTCCAAGCACAAAAAACGTTTCGATTTTTTGCGGTGGAAATCATCAGGCGCAGCGCAAATGCAATCAGTGGATGTGAACAACACTCAACCTAACCCCTAAAAGCTTTGCAAGCGTGAACTTATGACCGATGAGATGAGATGACATTCAGTGACAGCTGACAGACTAACCTCAACAAATGCGATCCCGATGCCCACATAGACGAGAATACTGGTTGACATGTGGATCTTTTCGACCAAAGTGTCGTAGCAGCCCACTTGATGGTAGACGGCGGTGTCGCCCCAGCAGAATTTATCCAAACAGCAGGAAATCGGGCGAATGTTGTCGGGCCAGTCCTTCGGGCCGTCAACACCGCAGCATTTAAACTGTCAAAAAAGAAAATTGTCATTACAAACGTCATATGTCAAAAACATCGTTTGACACTTACTTGACGTTGCAGCACGTCCCAGTAGTTCTTGTCGCGGCCATCGATCGCATCGTAAGCGGTTCCGTATTGACCTGCGCCGCCCGTAGTCTAAAATGACACCACCACTGACATTAGGCGAACTGTCACAATTTGACGTTGATTAGCTTACCCTGTCCCGTGCCACGTCGTAGTAGTTGCTGCGGTCTTTGCCGCTTGACAGCACGTGTCTAAGCGATTCTGACAGCGACTCTTTGAACGCCACCTTGTAGTCGGTTTTGAAAACTGCTGCGCAGATTCCGACGGTCAGTTCCATGATGAAAACAGCCAATAGAAGGCCGGCAAACTGAAACAGCAAAACAACCGTTAACACTAATCCAATGATTATTTGACAACTTGGCAACAATGCAAATGTGCTTGGAAAAGTTTTTTCGATTTTTGGCTGCCAAGTTTGCTACGCTAGTCAGAAATTGCGGCTACTTGAGACATTCCACAGCATTAAATTTGGCAACATTGTTGGGGGGAAACATTTTTCATTGCTTGAAACATCCCTTTAACTTACTTTGTTTATCTTCATCCTGAAATTGGCCAATTTTTCATTATTGTAAGTCCTTTGCCTTAATAGAACGTTAAAAGGACGTTTTCCCATGTGAAAAGTACGTCGCATTTCTGCTTCGATTTAACCAAGAAATTGGATTTTGATTGCGGTCAAATCTCGCAAGGTCTTTAGGACGTACTTTGCGGAGAGCTTGAACGTACTTTTCACGTCTACTCAAGGTAAACACGCCTGTTTTTACAGCTTGAAACGTTTATTGGGTTAATAAATTAATATGGTGATCGCACAGAACTTCTGTTTGAAAAGTTTTCAAAAAAGAGCTTCTATTGAGTTAGTTTCTTTGCGATTTTACTTGTTTTCAACATTTTATTTTTTTCGCCCAAAGAAAGCTTTCTGGTGAAAAAAGTTGCTCTTCATAAAATGTGCGTAGCGCCAAAAATTAATCGGGAAGTGCGTTTTCCGAATGTAATTGTCCATTGATTTTAGAGTAATTGTAGATTAAGCAGAAAAAATTATTGACTGAAAAAATTACCTTTACTCTAAAATTGAGGATTTTAGAGTAAAGTAAAATTTTGAGGACGTTAATTGCGTCAAATCTCTTAAGGTCCTTAGAACGTACTTTCCACGTGACGTACGACGTCGTGTGGTTTTAGTAAAAATTAATTACTGTTTATTAGTAGCCTAAAATAGAGGAATTGAAATTTTTTTTTTAAATTGTTTTACCTAAATAGAACGTTAGAATGAATAGAACGTTAAAAGAACGCTTCATGATGTAAAAAGTACGTCGCTTATTCAGCTCGATTTAACCAAGAAATTGGACTTTTATTGCTGTGAAATCTCGTAACGTCTTTTGAACGTACTTTGAGGAGAGCTTGAACGTATTTTTAAAGTCGGTTCAACGTAAATACACGTGTTTTTACAGCTTGATTGATTTTTGAATATTTACTGGTTTATTAAAGTAATATATTAATCGATCAGAAGTTTTGTTTGAAAATTTTTCAAAAAACAGTTTTTATTGAGTTTCAATTCAAAACCTTCGGTAAATGTTCAACAACGCTAAAACTCTCTAGAGGTTTCACCGCAAATCACAGTATTTGCCATCGAATTAAGAAGATTTCTTCAAAAGTCAGGGATTTTTGAAAAATTCAGCGTTGCCGGAACGTTGGAAAAAGGATCCTGGCCCTTTTATAAACAGTCACAGCTCCTCAATTTTCAAGCGCACCAAAATTATGTTAAATGAGGAAATAAAAAGCATAAAAATTCCTTTAAAACGAGCCCTTAATATTGAAAATCCTGAAAAAATTCAGCAAAAAATGAGCGAATTAGCGGCAACGTTGAAAAGTTTTAGATTGTCGAAAAACGTTGCTCTTTATAGTAATTACTTGACAATTTGGCAACATTTGAAGGGAGTTTGTCAAACATTTTTTTAGGCTTTTAAGCTTGCCAAGCTCGACTGGAATTGCGTCTGCTTGAGACATTTCTTAGCATTAAAGAGCATGTATATTTGGCAACATTGTCAAGGGGAAAGTCTTCCAATCCTTGAAACTTCACTATGAGTAACTTTGTTTTGCTTGCCTTTAAAACTGAGGACTGTCAAAATTTTTGATAGTGTTTTACCTTAATAGGACGTTAAAAGTACGTTTCATGACGTTATAAGTACGTGGCTTTTCGATCTCGATTTGACCTGGAAACTGGACTCTAATTGCGGTCAGCTTTCGTAACGTCTTTTGAACGGACTTTGAGGAGAGCTTGAACGTACTTTTAACGTCTATTCGACAAAAACACGCCTGCTTTTACAGCTTGAAACGTTTTTTGAATGTTTATTGGGTAACTAAATGAATGTATTTATCGAACAGAACTTTTGTTTGAAAAGTTTTCAAAAAATGGATTTTATTGAGTTAGTTTCTTTGCGATTTTACATGTTTTCAACATTTAATTTTTTAGGCCAAAGGAAGCTTTCTAGTGGAAAATGTTGCTCTTCATAAAATGTGCGCAGCGCCAAAAATTGATCGGAAAGTGCGTTTTCCGAATGTAATTGTCATTGATTTTAGAGTAATTGTAGATTGAGCAGAAAAAATTACTGATTGTTTATCTTTACTCTAAAATTGAAGATTTTCAAAATTTTTAAAAAATTGTTTTACCTTAAAAGAACGTTAAAAGCACCTGGTTTTCCATCTCGATTTCACAAAGAAATTGGACATTGCGGTCAAATTTCTTAACGTCCTTAGAACGTACTTTAGACGTGACGTACCACGTCGCTTGGTTTTAGAGAAAATTGAGTAGAAAAAAATAATTACTCTTTATTTGGACTTTAATGGAGGAATTTTTATCTTTTTTTAAACTGTTTTACCTAAACAGAACGTTAAAAGGACAATTCATGATGTAAAAAGTATGTTGCTTATCCAACTCGATTTAGTGGTTTCACCGCAAATCAACGTATTTGCCATCGAATTAAGCAAATGTCTTTAAAAGTCAGAGATTTTTGAAAAATACAACGTTGCCATAACGATGGAAAAGGACCACTTTTGCAATTTTTCGCAGTGCAATTGCGCGTTTTCATAAGTGTTTGAAAGGGCGGCCCTTTTATAAACAGTCACAGCTCATCAATTTTCAAACATATGAAAATCATCTTAAAAGCGTAAATGAAAAGCATGAAATTTCCTTTAAAATGAGCCCTTAATATTGAAAATCCTGAAAAAATGTAGCAAGAAACGTTGATAAGTTTTAGATCGTCGAAAAACGGTGCTCTTTATAGTAATTATTTGACAACTTGGCAACATTGGAAATGCGTTTGAAAACCGTTTTTTGGTATTTGGCGTCCAAGCTTGCTAAGCTCGACTCGAAGTGCGTCTACTTGAGACATTTTTCTGCATTAAAGAGCAGGTATATTTGGCAGCATTGCCAAAGGGAAAAGTCTTCCAAAGCTTGAAAATTTATTATAAACAACATTGTTTATTTCTACTTTAAAATTGAGGACTTTAAAATTTTTGTATAGTGTTTTACTTTAATAGGACGTTAAAAGGACGTTTCATTACGTTAAAAGTACGTGATTTTTCGATCTCGATTTGACCAAGAATTTGGACTTTAGTTGCGGTCAAATCTGGTAACGCCTTTGGAACATACGTTAATGCGAGCTTGAACGTACTTTTAACGGCCATTCAACGTAAACAGGTCTGTTTTTGCATTTTGAAAGGCTTTTTGAATGTCCATTGGGTTATTATATGTACATATTGATGGAACAGGACTTTAATTTTGTTATTGGGTTAGTTTCTTTGCGATTATGATTGATTTTCTCATTTAATTTTGTTCGCCATAAAGAAGCTTTTCAGTGATAAAAGTATTTAGCGACAAATTCTGCGAATTTCGCTGGAAATTGGGACGTTTTTGATCCCAAAAATCTCGGAAACTAAAACTAGTAGAGAAAAACCGAGTACGTCATTGGATAGAGGGGCTCAATGCGCATTAAAAGTTTATATTACTTTTTTTTTAGTTTCCTTTTTTTTGCGGCTCGAAGCCACTCAGAAAGTTTGCATTTGAAATGGTTCAACAACGCTAAATTAATTAACTAATTAATTAATGGGATCACCTAATTAAAGCCCAGCCTTTCAGTGCCCGCCGTAATTAATCAATTAAGAGCCCTAATTGATTAATTAATGAAAATCCTGAAAGCTGAATCGTGTTGAAGCAATTTGCCAACGTCTAAACATAGATGCCAGTGCAGAGTGGCGAATGCAAGGGATTTTTCTACGGAAATTTATCGACAGATCATAATCGCGCATTTCTATTCAATTGTTGAAAAACCTTCAGTGTTTTTCCACCCAAAACCAATTAATTCCAATCATGCAATCGGTTCTTGGCCTTGAAAACCGCATGCCTGTACACTTTTACGGCTTTGACCCGCTTGCCGACCAGATTTTGTGCTTATAGATGCAGTTTTTCTCGCCGTTTTTCTTACGAAATTATGCGGAACTGTTTTGTTGATTTTCTATTAAAATTACCATTGTACTTAACGTCCGAGTTACGTGCTTTAAACAGGAATTTTGCGCCAAGTGGCTTGTTTCTTCAGCATGAGTTCCTTCTGGTTCACCAGGACTCTTGAACCACATTTTCCACCTGTTCCTTCAGCTAATTTAACCAGTTACGGTATTGACAGGCGGCTGAAGAATTCTAATGAAGATTGAAGTGAGTCAGCTGAATAATGTGAGTCACGTACCAATGAAAACGGTTTAATTAATTGATGGGCTTCGTTGAAGTATTTGTGTAGGTGTTGTTTCGGTTTGTCATCGCTTCTCTAGGCTTTGCCTCATTCTGACCTCACTATTTCTTGCCTGATTCTACTGTCTATTTATATCTGTTTTCAGATTTAAAATCGCACTCTTACTTGAGGAGCTGTGAAGGTTTATAAAAGCGCCGCCCTTTAGGAGACATTTGCGCTTTTAACTCGTTGGATTCTGGAAGGATTTTCTCCCTCAAAGGTTTTTCCGGAAGGCAATTTTCTAATTTTATTTTCCCTATTTCCTGTCCGCTTTATTCCAATCTGCTTTCGACGCTGTGCAGATTTATAACAGCGCCGCCCTTAAGGAGCCGCAAGCATTTGCATTACTGTTTGCCTTACGGCTCGCTCATTTTTGGATGTATTTTCTTTCTCAAAGGGTTTTTGAGAAGCGACTTTCTCATCTTGACTTTGCTATTTTCTACCTGATTATATTGTCTATTCAGATCTGTTAACAGAATTTAGATCGGAGCCAAAGTAGAGGAGCTGTAAAGGTTCATAAGAACGCCGCCCTTAG